TATTTGGTTGTTACAGCATCTCACTATGCAGCTCGGACTCATAGTGATTCTTCTGTTTTCAGTCACCCCAGCACTGGGATTACAAGTATATGCCTCTATGCCCCCAACTCTGTGGCCGGTTCAGCATACCCTGGGGGCGGGGCTGGCACAGCATGTGGTGCTGGGGATTGAACTGCAGTCCCTGTGCTTGCTTAAACCTGCCTAAGCAGGCGCTTTAGCCTGCTGAGCTATCTTGTCAATCCCCTTTAGTATTTTTTTTCAGAGTTTCTATATTGTTTTTATAATCAGAAAAATAGAATGTCAACATAAAAAGATGTTATTCTTTAAACCAGAGCTTGCATTTTAATAAGAAACTTTAAGGATTTAGTGAGTTTTTATTAATATTAAGAGAACTAGGGGCTGGGGAGATAGCTTAGTGGAATAAGTGCTTGCCTGGCAAGTACAAGGTCCTGAGTTCAGGCCCTGGTACCGCAAAAAAAAAAGGAGAACTAGGAGAAACAGCACTAGAAGTCACCTTTACGAAACTTAATCTGCACAGCAAGCAGTAGGGAGAAAGTAATGACTGAAGGTGGGGACAGCCACCATGGAGTACCAAGGAGTGGTTAGTAATCTAGTCAAGGGCTTGGGATACAGCTCAGCGGCATAACCATCCACCTGGCAAATGTAAGGTCCTGAGTTCAATCTCCTGTACCAAAAAAAAAAAAAGTAATCTAGCCATAAGGAGAAGTGCTAGAAAGCAAGACAGACCCTGGGCATCAGCAATTTTACTAAAATCCTTGTATAATTTATTCGTTCCTTATAACAAAGGACTGCTAATGAATCAAATCAAATACTAGATGTTTAAAATATTCCAAGTCCTTATAATTACTGTTAGGAATACGCCCCCAGACTAAATCTGTCAATGTAAATAATAAAGCACTCAGACACTAAGAATCTGTGAAAGGGGGCAAGCACAACATGAGTTAGCTGGCTCCTTTGACTTCCTAAGCATGAGAAGCAGCTGACCTCCCCATTGGCTAGCTTAAAAGTTAACAATGTGCCCTGATTGACTAGTTTTAGTGGCACAAGGGGAGGGCCTGAAGGATTGGTGGGTAGAGTTGCTAAGGGAAGGGAGAGTGGGTTTATGGGGACCAATGAAAGTCCTCAGCTGTTGGTAAGCTATCTTTAGTGGGTGGCCTGTGTTCCTGGAATTTAAGCTGAGAAGACTTTTTTGTGACTCTGATGTGATGGGTGGGGGATGGGGAACAGCATAGAGCAAACTGGAGTTTAGGATGGAGGTGCTCCTGTTTATAGCCTTTGATAGAAAAGACCTTGTTTCTTCTATTATTATACAAGAGTATAATATGTTGTGTTTTTATCATTTTTCTACAAATTCAGGATGAACCTGAAAAACTGACATTCCTAAGATCTTTGTCTTCTCTCAGTGAAACTTTACATTATGATGAAACCACAGAATCATTCATTCATAGCCACATAGCAGACATAGTGCACATCCTAAATGTAAGTACCGTGATCTCATCACGAATGCCTGAGACCCCACAAACTCAGTGACCTTGCAAAGTCTGGTAGTTTTACCCATGTCATCAATTCCTTTAGCCTCTTCTCCTATCATCTCTGAATGGAGAAGTACCCACAGATATCATCACCCTTGAAAACCAGCTACCAGAGGAGTGAAAAGGAAAGAAATAGTATTAGCACTTAAATTTCTTAGTAAAGTCACTGTTACATTCTTCAGCTTGGAGGCAGAATCGAATTGAATGCCTGGGTTCAGAATTAGCCTTACCACCTTATAGCTGTATGACTTTAGGAAATCACTTAACTTCCCAATGCGTTAGCTTTTTTCATCTATAAAATAAGGACTATTTATTTCATAGACTTATCATGAGCAATAAATGAAAAATGAATGCAAAAAAGAAAAAGAAATGCAAGTCATGTAATATGGTGTAATGGCTTGTGCCTAGATGTCCTCCCAAAACCTCCTGTAGTCATAGGTAAGGCTTTCTCAGAGGCGGCTGGATCTAGAGCGTGTGATTGGTTCATTGTGCAATGCTATGATTAAGGATGGGTGATTACTAAATCAGTTCTCTGATTGCTTTGGTACCACCCCAATCCCAGTAGCTTGGATGCAATATAAGGGACAGGTAGAGGCTTGTCTGGCCTCTTGCCTGCTTTTCTACTTTCTGCCCACCACAAACTCTTCCTCTGTGCCAAGCCACCTTGACTTGGAGCCCGCCAGTCATGGACTGAATACTCTACAAACTATGAGCTCAATAAAACTGTCCCCCTCTAACTTTGGGTATTAGGTATTTTGTCTCAACAACAAGAGAAAAGATACACAGTCCTAACACTTATGCATTTGAAAAATATTGTTGTCACTATTGTATTTTGTCCTGCTTGTACTTGTTCTTAGTACAAACTTCACAAGTACTTTTACAGTACTTCACGAGTCACACTCTACCACCAACTCATCCATTTATTCCCTTATGAAGTACTGAACAGTTCAGGCATTGTAATAAGAACTGAGTCTAGAAAGACAAAAAGACTAATCTCTGGCAGTACAACAAGCTGGGTATAATCTATTGTCACAGAGCTGTGAAAAAAAGTTAAAGTTAGCATATTAAGGACACAGAGGGATGAATGAGTAATCCATGTAAAAGATTCAAAGGAACTTTACAGAGGAGGTGATGTACTTTAATATATACTTCTTGGGCTGGTGAGATGGCTCAGTGGTCTAAAGCACCTATTTAGAACAAGCTTAGCAGGGGGCTGGGGAGATGGCTCAGTGG